GGGGGGGGGGGGGCATGTCCACGCGGTTTCGCCGGCCCTTGGAGTGTCTGCTCATTTTCACACGCGTTCGGCAAAAAAGTACACGGCACCACAAGTCATCTGCAAGCCCGATCCAGTATTTTATTTCAAGTTTGTTTTTTACTTTTTTTCAGTTGTGTATGTTTCGTTTTGTTCACACAAAGGGTTTATGCTCCCGTCGTTTCTGCGCTCCAGAAAACAACGCAGTATATATAGATAGATATGCCGCTACTACCCTTGTCATCATCATCTGTTACATTTACCACTGCAGAGGCTCTGCGTGTGGTTCATCCGCCCACTCGGCGGCGAGGCCCCACAGCTGCTGCCGAAATTGGTGGTAGGATTCCTCCTCTGCCGTCTGGGTGGACCGTCCGGACTCCTAGTCCCGGGGCGCACGGGAGCTGAGTCCCTCTTTTACGGCCTCCAAAATCAAGTCCTTGGCCTTCTCGACACCGTCGGCAGTGCCAATGATCTCAATGGCATCCTCCTTGTCATCGTTGCGGGGCACGTTGATCTTGCAACCGCTCTGCTTACGGATGGAGTTGACCTTGCTGCCGCCCTGGCCGATGACATAGCGGTAGGTCTTGGGGTCGGGCAGGACCAAGTAGCCCGTGTGGGTGTTCTTGCGGGCCTGCTCGATGGCCGAGGCGATGGCCGCCTTGGCCTTCTCGATGTTCTCGGGAGAGCCGCGGAGGACCCAGGGGATATCGCCGTCCTCGCCAGCGGCGCTGTCCACGACCTTCCAGGAGTGGACATCCGCAGTGGCGTCATCGTCGTCGGTGATCAAGGGCAGAGCACCGCCGTTGCTGCGGCCGGCACTGGGCTTGGGGGGCAGGCTGTGGCCAGCATGGTCGACGGAGACCTGGTGGTTGTTGCGGAGCTGGCGGAAGAACTGACCGTTGTTGGAGATGGAGTGATGCAGGTTGCGGGGAACCTGGAGAGTCTCTCCCTCCTGCTCCTTAACGAGCGAAGCAATGTGCGCCTTGGCCTTCTCGACGTTCTCGGGGCGACCAGCGATCTTGACGCCGGTCTTACCGTCACCCTGGCGGGGAATGTCAATCGAGACAGTAAACTGGGACTCCAGCTGTCGCTTGGCATCTCCACCACGTCCGATCAGGGTCCTGTGCTTCTCGATAGGGACGTCCAGAATCTCAGTGACTTGGCTCTCCTTCTCTCTGACAATCTCTTCGATTCTTGCGCAGATCTTGTTGACGATGTCGGAACGACCCTCGACCTTGATCGTGTTGCCATCAGCCTCCTGCTTAGGGAACTGAATGGTCCGGGCAAGCTCGCGGCGGTCATCGGACCCACCGGCCTTGACAACTAGGTCGCGGAGGTTGGCACCTATCACATGTTAGTTTCGGTCAAGCGGGTGGAGAGGTCAATGATCATACCTCCTGCACCGATGAGAGACTTGTGATGCTTCTTATCCACCTCAAGGGTTCTCACAATGGTGTCGTTGAACACATCTCTCTTCTCCTCGAGGGCCTTCTTAGCCGCCGCCACCTGAGACTTGGTACCCTTGATCTGGATGTCGACGGTTTCGGCATCACGGCCGCTAGGAATGTCAATCTTGGCGCCGGAAGATACGCGAAGCTCCTCCAAGGCGGCACCGCCTTGTCCAATAATCGACGGGACCTGCTTCTGCTGCACAGAGACAGTGGCCGTGAAAGAATTGTCCTTCAAGTACTGGAGGAGAGACAGGATCTCGTCGCGAGCCTCATCGGCTCCCTTCTTGGGACCGCGGATGATAACTTCGTCAGGTTCCTGCTGACGCTTGGGTTTGCCGGCATCGCTGGCAGCGTCGGCATCCGCGTCGTCGTCCTTGGGGGCCTTACCAGATCGCGGGAAGAAGATCAGGACCTTGTACTTGCTCTGCAGGCGGTTGGTGACGCTTCCTCCCGCACCGATGAGCTCGCGGTGGAACTTAGGGTCGACCTTGAGGATGTGAGTGACCTCGTCGGCCAGTGTACGGCCGAGGGAGCTAATGTGCGCCTTGGCAGCCTCGGCCTTGGCCTTGGGGCCCTTGAGCTCCACTTTCCCGTCCTGCACCTGGATTTCAACGTCAAAGCGGTCACGAAGCTCCTTGATGTTCGAACCGCCTTTGCCAATGAGGTGGTTGGCGAACTTCTGGGGGAAGTCGAAAGACATGGTAAAACCACGCTCCTTCTCATCCTCCTTCTCTTGCTCAACGAAATCGATGACCTTTGCCTCGAGCTTCTTGACAGCGGAGGCGGGGCCACGCAGAGTAACAACAGTACCGACCGAAGACACACGGATGGGGATCTGGTCGTCGGGCCTGTTAGCCTGCTCCTTCTTGATGAAGCGGCGAAGCCGCTCGTGGAACCTATTACCGTCAGCACAATGGAATTCCACAGCGGGCTCAAAAAACGAAACTCACTTTTGGGGCACGTCAATGGAAGCAGAGGCGATCTGCTCTTGCTTGTTGATAATGTCCAAAATCTGCTTGCGCACATCCTCCAGGCTCTCCTGGAAAGCACGAATCTCGTCCTGGGAAGGGCGGCCGGTCTTGATCTCAGGCTTGGGCTCGGGAGCAGAAGGGCCTTCGAAAACCAGCAGAACAGGAGCGTCAGGCTCGGCAGCCTCAGGGAGAATAACGTGGACGCCATAATTGTTCCTCATGCGAGGGCTGACATCTTTGTTCAGGTAATTGTGGTAAAAGGGGTCGACGGGAATGGGGGCGATTCTGGCAGGAGGAATGGCATGGACAAGCTTTTCAATGGCCGATTGAGCCTGGAGAACGCTCTTGCCGTCACGCGCATACAACTCATAAGGTGAAGCACCGTTAGCGGACAAGGGCGTGTTGATGTGAGTATTGTGGGCTCTTTCAATCTCGTCGAACAGATCACGGTGGCGCAGGTAACGGGTGACGTTGCGGGCGTGCGCGTTCACACCGTCGGGGGCGTTTTTGTGGAACCGGCCAATGTCGAAAGTGGAAAACTGCATGTTCATAGCTCTGTCCATGGCAGTCTCGACACCCTTGCTCAGCTGAGCGGCGGGGCCGATGACGGTGACAGAGTCATCATCCTCGTCCGTGGGCAAGAGGATAGTGCAACCAGTCTCGTTGAAGAAATCGTCCAGAGACTCGCCGCGACGGCCGGCGATGAACTGGTGACGGCCCTTCTGGAGACTGAACTGGTCGATGGCGAGCTGGTTCTGCAACTCCTGGACGCGACGCTCGATCTCGGCACGCGCGGCCTGGACAGCAGCGCGGTCGCCAGCTAGCTGGATGTGGTTGTCGGCAGCCGGGACGAACACGGGGCGCTCGCCCTCATTGACAGCGAGATTACGGCCACGGGGAGCCCAGATTTGGTGGGGAGGAACCCGGACCTGAACACCGTTGTTCTCGTACTGGTTGACATGGCTGTTTCCGGGACCCGCAATAAAGGGGTAGAACTCAGCAGGGATGCCGCGCAGCTTGGTGTTGACGTTGGCTGAACGTTCGCCAGCAATCTTCAGAATCTCATTGCGAGCCGAAGCAGCAGAGAGAGCGTTACCCTCAACGAGAACATCAATAGTGGAGTCATCGTCCTCATCGATCTGGGCACTGCCATCCTCCACCTTGGGAAGCTGGACGCGGGCACCAGACTTCTCTTGAATAGCCTTGATGACAGAGCCGCCTTTTCCAATAATGTGTGCACGGGAAGACTGGGGGATCGGAACCTTGATGGTAGTCTAGGGCAAAAAATGTCAGCGTGGCATCGAGCGTGGTGGCGCTACTGTTCCCCTACCTTGGTGCCAATCTGCTGGACGAGATCCTTCAGGGCCTGCTGAGCAACATCCTGGGGGCCAGTCGCATCAAACTTCAGCCTTCCGTTGGTAGCGGTAGACAGGGTGATATTGGCACGCGACTTGCGGTTGATGTCCTTCATGATATCCGCGATGGGGCGCTTCAGCTGGCCGCGTGGGAGGATGAACTGGGGCTCCAGCACAACCGTCTCAATGTTGCGGCCAGGGATCGACATGGAAGGGGGACCGTTCTTTGGGGTGGCAGCTCCCGAAGCGGGAGTCGAGGAGCGGGAAAGACCATTGGCGGGGGC